AGCAGTGACCATGCCGCACCTCCATTCACCCCAAGACTCACATTACTGTGGGGTGTAGCTCTGGAAGCCTCATTGCCTCCACAGCAGTGAGAGGATACATCAGGCTGTGGGGAGGGTTAGGGAGCTTGTATCCAACCTCCAGCCCACAGTCTGGGACTGCATAAATTATTCAGTTGTTAGTGTGCCTTCGGTGACTTCATCTGTCTTCAAGGAGCCCAGAACCACTCTGAGGAGCGGAGATGGCTTAAGATGCTTGTGATGAAGTACCTGGCATGCAGGAGAAACTTGAGCACAGTGTGGTATTTGGAAGTGCTCTGGGGCTGCTGGGAAGGCCCCTGACTGCCTACAGCACAGTGCTCCGAGCAAGCATTATCTCTAATGACACTGACCACAAGGCTACCCAGTCTTGGTGACACCACAGCACAGGAATCAAGTGAGGCTGATTAAAGACAGTGCATTCCTGCACAAGGGGGGGGGCATAGTTCTACAGGGGGCCTCCCTGGGCGTTAGGGTCCCTGATGCTGTCTGACTCCCACGGTGCTGCTAGCTCTCAAGTGTGTGTCCTCCTCTGCAGGCTCCCTCCGTCTGCTCTCTGCCGGGCCTCCTTTCATACTAGCCCTAGCTCAGCTCACACCCTGCTTTTCCCTAACATCTCCCAGAGGTCCGTGACTTTCTCTTCTGGGCTTTGGGCTGGGTGCCGTGTGGCCTCTGCTCAGCCCCATACGTTTTCCCTTGTGGGCTGTGGTGAGGGAGACAGAAGAGAACAGGTGTCTACCTGCTGGGTACCTGCCTTCACCCTGAGAGGGCCCCTGATACCTTCTCTGGGAGTGCGTTTGGTGGGGCAGTCGGGGAGAGAGGAGTTCCAGCTTTTCCCTTTAGGGCCCTGCCCAGTCCATCCTGGAGCTGTAAACACCGAAGCCAGACTCTGCTTAGCTCAGGCAGAAGGCATACTTGGCTTGTTCTCTACCCTGCTGGCTCATGACTCTGCCCTTTCTCAGTACAGCTGTCTCCAAAGGCCAGCTTGGTGGCCACAGGAGCACCCCCAGCCCCCGCCTACCCCGGCTGGTCTCCATCTGCACACAGCCCCATGCTGAGAGGGCAAAGGAGTATTCCCAAGGGCTCCTGCTAGGAGTTTACCTGCTGGCTGCATGCCCAGGAACAGAGAAGGGACCTGTTAACAGAGAACAGGGAGGAGCTGGTACCCAGGAGATCCAAGAGCCCTGTGGAGCATGTGGGTGAACCAATGAGTGAGTGAGCCAGCCCTTGCCCGCAAGGGTGCCTTTCAGCACGACCTCCTCTAGGAACAGGCCAGACGAGAGCAGGGCCGCCGCCGCCGCCGCCAGATGTCAGGCCTCTAAGGGCTCATTGGGAAGATTTGTCGGGGCATCTGTGCTTCCTTTCTGCTGTCTCTGGGACTTGCCTCATTCTGTCTGAAATCAGTACTGCTGTGTAAAAGGGAGTGGAATGGAGGTGGGGATCCAAACCATACGCTGGACGGTGCAATGGAAACTAGACCTATCTGTCATTGGGTGCTGGAGATGCTGGAACAAGAGGCCCCTCAGCCAGCCATGCTGCCCACTGGGTACTATTGGGAAGTAGGTGTCTTTAAGAACTTACGTTGTTTTCTTCTTCCTCTGGTACTAAATGTGATTCCATCACAGTCATCTGCCTTACCTGCCTGACGAGAGGGTTGGGTCCTTCTAGTCTTACCCTAGCATGGGAAGGTGATCTGAGGTGCTGTACCATCAATGCTCAGCTTGGGGAATGAGAGCCTTTACAGGAGTCCTGTTCTCCTATGCCCCTTAGCATCTGCCAGGTCTCTTCTGCTTCCCCAACACACCCTACATGTAGCCAAGCAAGGTGTGTTTTCATGGTGTAAAAGCTTTCACCTGGCCAGGTGGGCCATGCTCCGTGAACACTGGTCAGAACCATAACATTGCCGCCTTTTAGGGAAGAGTCAGTTTATCTTCATACAGTCCCCATGTCCCCCAGGTGTGAGATTGATAAACACTGAGAGCTTGGAAGAGCTTTGTCTGCCATGAACACAGTTGTTTCCTGCCTGCCCCATGCAGTTGAACATGGAAATTTCCAGGAACCAGGGGGGAAAGTTAGGATTCCCTAGCACAGATATCCTGTACCCAATAAAATGGGAGGCAGAAAGCTTTCAAGATGAATGTCCCACTGCTCTGCCAAGTTTGTGTCAGGGTCCTTAGGACCTAGAGCTAAAGCAGACGATCCCTGGCCAGGGCACACTGTCAGCTGCAAAGCCATCGGAAAGGCTGGCCTTGAGTTATCTCCACCATGTCAGAGCAAGCAAGCCAGGGGAGCTTCAGAGAAGAAGGACTAGATATCACATGGGCCTGGGGAGACATTGGGAATGCTGATTGGTCAGAGGCTGTGGAAGGACATAAACAAAGGCTCATATGCATGCAATTTGTGGCTTGTATCAGTCCAAAGGACTCAAAGAAGTCGGAGAGGCAGTTGAGATAGAAAATTAAAAAGACCAACAAGACCTAGCTTGGTATACACGTATATGAGCCAGGAGGGTCAAGAGGTCAAGACCAGCCTGGGAATGTAACCTGTTTCAAACAAGGACTAGGGATGTACTCAGTGGTTAGCAGTGCTTGTCTAGCACACCTGAAGCCCTGGGGCCAGTTGATGTAGACTTCAGTCGCTGGGGGCAACCCTGTACCCTATAGAAAAGATTCTGCTCATTAACCAGAGTCAACAGTAGCTACCTCCAGGGGTGATTAGCTCCAGTATGTATAATTGACAATGAGAGTCAGCATGGCAGTATCCAGAGTGGATGGGCATTGGAATCTAATCACTCTTAGCTGGGGGCCCTTGAGGCACCAGTTGGTGTCCGAGGCCCCCAGGACCCTGCCTCTGTTCTTCCCTCAGCCTGCCTGTGTCTGCACTCTAGTACAGCTTGAAGGCCGTAGTGAACATCGGGGAGTAGGGCCACTGTCCCTGCCTCTCACTGCTCCTAGAGAAAAGTCAGCCCATCCTAATCACGATGATATGGCACAGCTCAGCAGAGCAAATGCCAATGTTGGGGGAGGGCTCATTTTGGTTCTTGAGACAGGGTTCCTCCCTGTAGCCCTGGCTGGCTTGGAAGTGCTGTGCTGACTAGGCTGGCCTCAAACTCACAGAGATTGCCCCTGCCTCCTGAGCACTAGAAGAAAAGGCGTGTGCCACCATGCCTGGTTCTGAATGCACCTCTGAGAAGTTGGGCAGACCCTCTCCCATTCTCAGGTCTGGAGAAAAGTGACCTCTGACCTAACCTGAGTCATCTAGGACTTTACACAGAAACTGGGGAGGTGTCTGGAGCCAGGTTGAATTCTAGGCCTTTCCAAGTTGGGGGAGATCTGGAAAAGAACATCTGGTCATACCAGAGCTCAGAGTAGCTCGGGACCGCTCTCCCTGTTATCTAGATGGAGAGCTGCTACAGCCAGTTCTGGTGATTGGTATAGCTGTGGATGTTTTTTCCTCAAAGCTGGGGGTGGGGGAGCCCAGTTCTGGGTAGCCCCTTGAGTCTCTAGCTCCAGAGGCTTCTTCCCTGTCTCTGAGCTCCAATGTCTATTGCATGTCTGTGGAGAGCCATGGTGAGAGTTCTATGTATGATGTCTGTGGTGTGCCTCCTCAAGAAATGGAGCCTTCCCTAGCCTCACACTGCTGGACCTGGTGAATACCTTCATGGCCACTGTAGTCTATCTTAGTCTAGCCTCAGCCCTGGGAGCAGAGAGATAAGGTACCAGGACCCTTGGAGTCCTTGCCTCCCACACTGACTGCTGTAGTTGAGAGGAACACACACACCCCATGTGGCTTTTTATAAGCTGTTCATACATCTGAAGAATATATAATGGTGTTTGCTGTCCTGGGTGTGGATGTTCTCAGCCCCTAACCCACCAGGTATGCTCTCTTTGTGGGCCAGTATGTGAGCTGTGGGGCTAGGGACTGAGGGTGTTAAGCTTCTCCAGGCCTCTTGAGGGCTTATAAGATGCCATGCCCTCCTCCCCATCTCCTTGGCCTGCTAGAGCACGGGTTTACACTTCTGTGCATGGACTGCTAATGGTCAGCGAGCCACCATGGGAACAGAGCACCACGTGGATGCTACTTTGATCCCTGTGACTGGCACTTGAGACCCGAAAAACCCATAATGAAGCCTTTCAAGATCCAGGGCCTGTGCTAGCTGGAGCTTCTCCAGGGCTGACTACAGGGACCCACTGGGATCTGCCAGCTTCTTCCAGGCTGCCGAGGTCCTGTGTCAAACAGTCTCCTAAGTGTTTGGTCACCCATCGTTCCTTCCCTCTGTCATCCATGTTGCCCCATAACCTGATGGACCCCAAGTGATCGTCAGGTGCCGGGCTTGTCACCAGAATACCACAAGGGTGCCGGGGAGGGAGGGCAGTGCCTCATGGCTAGATGTGGACCGAGAGAGACAAGAGGAGAGACTCTTCCAAAGCCGACTTTGGTAGATACCAGGCCTGGGTATCTTCGGGCTGTAGTTGATTCCCTAGATGCAGCTGGGGATGGGAGCTGAGGGATGAGACACGGGCTCGTCCTCAGCAGCAGCTGGAGTTAGCGGCCCCTCTGACTCAGTGTTCCTCCCCTGGGAGCTGCCCTGTACCTTTGCCAATACCTATGCAGAGAAGTGTGTGCCGAGTGTGAAAGCCACCCTAGGGAACAGGTCCAGTAAGCATGTGGGATACAGCCATCCAAAAAAGAGGGGGACTGAGGCAGGAGGATCATAGTGAGGCAGACTCAGCCCACTTAGTGTGACTTTGACTTGGAAAAATGACTATAGATCCTCTGCTGTGCATGAGAAGGGAATAGGTAGAGACAGCCACTCTTCTCTCCTCTTCTGGGTGACAAGAATGGGCTAAGTCCCTGGCTAGGCCCTATGCACAGTGGCAGGCTTGAGGGGACACCAGGAAAGGTGTCCCCAAGGCTCCAGAAAGGTGGCAGCCTTCCTTAGCCTGTCCTTGCCTATCCCATAGGGCATCTGGCGGATCCCCGTGGATGAAATTGACCGGCCAGGCAGCTTTGCCTGGCACATGAACCGCTCCATCGTGCTGCTGCTCAAGGTTCTAGCCCAGCTCCGGGACCACAGCACCTTGTTGAAGGTGTCCTCCATGCTGCAGCGGACACCAGACCAGGGCAAGTGAGTGAGCCTCCACACACAGCCTGCCTCATCATCTACCCAGGCTTGTCCCCTCTGCTCCCACCTGGCTCTGGGATCTTTTGGTCCAAGCCACAGCCATCCCTCTCTCCTGAGGGAGGGACGTCTTTTAGTATCTAGAATTCAAGTACTCCACCTCTCTGCTTAGAGCACCTTAGGACTAACAAGCTGTTGGTCTCCACATTTAGACCCTCCCTTCTGCCCAGCCGGGGGCCCAGAAGCACTGACTAGCATGAGGTGTAGGGAACAGACATTCCGAAAGTAGCCTTGGCACCCCAGGGGAGTAGGTGGGCAGCAGAGGTCTTGGGCCTCCACAGCTGTCAGGGCTTCAGGGGCCAGAAGGATGGGACACACAGAGCAGAGGGTGTCTGCGCAGCTGCCACATGCAGAGGTTGGGAATGGTACCTGGGGATGCAAGGTACACAGGGCGAGGCTGTCTGTAAAGTATAAGCATCCCAGAAACCAGCCTGAGGGAGAGGAGCTTAGCCCCCAGGCCTTCCTTGAGCCGGCACTCTAGCCCACCATAGCGCCAATCCCTAGCTGGCCTGTAGTCCAGAGGGCTCGGCGGTCAGTGGGACCAAGTCAGAGACCTGTTGAGTATGAAGTATGAGGTCCAGAGGGCACTTCGGGGGACAGACTTGAGTAGACGGGAGCACAGTCCCCAGTGTCCCGGGGTAAGTGCTGGCTCACCCCCTGTGCACTCTATGGTTTCTCACACTGTCCCTCTCTCTGTCCCCCCGGGTCACTGCAGGAAATATCTGCGCGATGCTGACCGCCAGGTCCTGGCACAGCGGGCTTTCATCCTCACTGTGAAAGTGTTGGAGGACACACTGAGCGAGCTTGCAGGGGTATGTCCGCCCGCCACACCTCAGCCCGGGCCTTGGGTACCGGGGGCTGAGCAAACAAGTCTCCGCAGCAGCCACGGTCAGTGGCCCTGCACAGGTCCTCTTTCCATGCCAGCTCCCCACAAGGCTCACACCACAAAGCTCCTGGAAAGCCAGGCCGTGCCATCCCAGGAGCAATGAGTAAGAGTCCCACTGCCCATCCTGCCCCGACACTCGCTTACGGGTGAGGGGGGTGCAAGTGCTGCCAGAGGAGCAGAGGAGAATGGGGCCGGGGCTAGCCCCCTCTTCTCATGACTGAAGCTGGCACGTGTGCATATGACATGACAGAAGGGCATCGGGTGGAGGGACCCATGGAGGCCCCGAGACCAGCAAAGCACCATAACTTGTCTGTTTTCCTCGTAGGGGTTAGAACACCCAGGACCCAAGGCCTGTGGCCTCTCTGGAGCCAGGATGACCACCGATGTCTCTCACAAAGCCAGTCCTGAGGATGGCCAGGAAAGCCTCCCCCACCCCAAGAAGCTACCTCTAGCTGATGGCTCAGGACCAGGGCCTGAGCCAGGGGGCAAAGTGGGCCCTCTCAACCAGTTACCAGTGGCCACAGCCACAAGGAACAGCACAGACCAGGGTGGGGAGCAGAAAGACAAGGAGGGTCCCCAGGCAGGGCCCACTGAACCCATGGACACCAGTGAGGCTGCTGTTCGCCACCCAGACTTGGAACAGACATCACCTCTGCTTCCAGGCCGCCCCCCAAGGGACCGGGGCCCCGAGAGCCGGTCCGCTGAGCTTTCCCTAGAGGAGCTGAGCATCAGCACCCGACAGCAACCCGCTCCGCTTGCACCAACCCCGGTAACACCCACCACTGCTGCTACTCCCCCCACCATGGGAGCTAGGGGAGGTGGCCACCCTGAAGAGGCACCTCCAAGGCCTAATCGCAAAAGGAAACTCCTGGAGGACACAGAGTCGGGCAAGACGCTTCTGCTGGATGCCTACCGAGTGTGGCAGCAGGGCCAGAAGGGCATGGCCTATGACCTGGGCCGCATTGAGAAGATCATGTCGGAGACGTACATGCTCATCAAGCAGGTGGGCAGCCACTGCACTGACCCCAGGGCTGCATCTGTCTCAGTCTCTTCATTGCTTGGGCCTTCTGTTCCCCAGAAGGTTCCTCCTTGGGGCTCTGGGCTCTGAGGTGGGCTTTATGTATTGTGCCCACCCCTTTCCCACTGTGTACTATGCTTGTTTTTTTTCCCCCCTTTTTGGGGTGGAGGGTGATGTTTATTTTTGAGGTTTTCTCTGATGAGCAGGTAGTAAGTTTAGACTCAGAAAACAGTAGAGTGTACATATGAATTCAGCTTTAGCGAAAGACTAAACTACAGTACAGTCCAGCACAGGAGTGTGGAAGCCCCTGGTCCCACCACTGCGAGGGGCCTCTGGATACATCTGAGCCACTTCCTGAGATGGGTGGCTGTGGTACCCAGCCTAGGGAACAGAGCTGGGAGGAGCCCACTCATGGCAGCCCAGAGAGTCCGCCACCCTTCTCGGTTTGCTTGCTCCCCATTCCACAGATCCAGGATGCCCATAGGAAGAGTCCCCCAGGACTTGACCACTGCAGACGGGTGACTGTCCCTAGTGGTCGGTTTTCCCAGGTGGTGCCTTTGAGATCCTCTCCACCCTGCCAGCGTTGTTTCCCTATGAATTCCTAGGAACGGTGTGGGTGCTGCTGCTTTTCCTGCAGGGGGGAGAGACCTGGTCCTTTCCTATGCCGCCTGTTCCCATCTTTACTTGACAGTATGTGGCCATCTCCTTCAAGCCACATCTGCTTGTTCAGGAGAAGCCCTACGCCTCCAGTCTCATATTGACATCCAGATGTGTTAGGCTCTTAGTCTAGTGTACACACTTAGGTCCAGGGTTGCCATCCTACCTGGGCTTCTAGAAGGCACCTCCCCTTGGAATCAACAACCTACTCTCAAGGTGGACCAGAAAGCAGCCTGTGACAGCCACATTAGAGGTCTGGTTTTGTTTTGAGACAGGGTCTTACTGTGTAATTCAGGCTGGCCTGAAATACTCAGTCCTGCCTCCACTCCCAAGTGCTGACATTAAAGGATGTATCACAAAGCCCAGCGCTCAGCTGAATTTGAAAGCCTGGTTGGGGTCTGAGGCCTTTGTCACTCTCAGCCTTTGAGGACATAAATAACTGGCCTTGGAAAGTGACTTGATGTGGCCTGAGGGTTAACTGGGACAAGTCCTGACACCAGCAGTTGGTACCTGGGCCTTTGGCCCACATCCCCACCCGGATGAGACACCCGGGTGCTGGGTGTGGTCCTCACTGAGGACAGTCCACATAGGAATGTCCTTGTTGAGCTGGGTTAATACAGTACCTAAGGGAACGGGGCTGGGAGCAGGTCAGGCACCACGGCCTAGGTTCCCTAACTGTAGGCATCTCTCTGTTCAGGTGGATGAGGAGACCGCACTGGAGCAGGCTGTGAAGTTCTGTCAGGTCCACCTTGGGGCTGCTGCACAGAGACAGGTAAGCTCTGCCTTGCACACCACCCACTCAGCCTATGCCAGCCCTGCATGCAGAACCACCAAGGCCTTGGGCTGCAGGCCAGAAGCAGATGTGCCCTGGAGTTGGTTCCCGTGGTTATTGTGGGGGGGGGGTGTCTAGGCTTCTAGATAATGGGTCATGACCCCAAAGTGGTAGTGCCTTGACAAGACTCAGACATACATAGGGGTCCTGAGGGGCTATGCTTTAGCTCCTTCACTAGTAGGAAGGGCCTGAACCTTTGTGACTGGTAGAGAAGTGATACCAGAACCTGGTAACTAGAGTAGAAGCGGCAGGGAACGTGGGGCGGAGGCAGAGCCCATACAGGGGTAACTGAATGTGGTGGGGACCAGGGACTCATCTCAAGCCAGGCATCCAGGTGCTTATGAGGCAGGGGAAGATGATGGCCAGAAAGGCTGGTAGTAGGATGGTAGAGTAAGATCCTCCTGGGATAAGCTGAGTGAAGCCCCTCTAGGCTTAAGGTAGCGCTCCTGATGACCAGATGTGATGGCACATGCCTTTAATCGTGGCACTCAGTAGGCAGAGGCAGGCGGATTTCTGTGAGTTCTAGGCTAGTCTAGCCTACAGAGCGAGTTCCAGGACAGCCAGGGCTCTATAGAGAGGTCCTGTCTCAAGAAAAAAGGAGCGGGGGGTGGGGGGGGTGGGGGGGGTGGGGGGTAGGGCTCATGTTGACTCTCGTCAGGGAATGGCCTAGGGGGAGTTGGGAGGCAGGCCTAGCAGGACAAAGAGCCACCCCCTGTAAAGCCTTGAGAGCCTGCAGGTCAGAGGATGCCTCAGTCTTGTCTCAGAAAAGGCAAAGCAGCCTTCTGGTTAGTGACCATGGTCATTGTCCATGTCATTGTGAGTGTATCTTCTCATCCTAGGGGTGGCCCAGGTGTTTGGGGCTGCCTTGTCCTAGGAGCCAGCAGCTGGCAGGTATCTCAGGGGTCCAGGCAGGCTTCCTTCTGGTAGAATGGGGCATGACATCAACACTGTCTGGACTATAGGTCTAGGGGTCCAGGGATTCATCTTTGAGCGTGCAGGCTGTGGGTCACCCTCCTAGATGAGAAGCATAGTCCTTGGCAGAATTGACCAGCCAGCCATCAGACCTCACCACTTGATTTTTTTTTCAAAGCCTGGTATTTACTGTGTAACCCAGTTGGCCTATAACTCATGGCAATCCTCCTGCCTGAGTGCTGGATTACAAGTGTCTATACCTCCACCAGGCAGTGGTAATGCACATCTTTAATCCTAGCACTCAGGAAGTAGAGGCAGGTGAATCTCTGAGTTCAAGGCCAGCCTGGTCTACCGAGTGAGTTCTAGGACAGACAAGGCTACACAGAGAAACTCTGTCTCAAAAGCCCCCGACCCCCCCAACCCCCCCTAAAAAAAAGGTATGTACCTCCATGCCCAGCTTGTATCTGACTTTGAAGGGGCTTAAGTGACAAACACATTCAGGAAATAATAGCAAACCCCTTCCCTTACTGGGGCTGTATTAGCAATTTGCTAAGGACAGGACAGAGTCTCATTTCTTAGAGGAGGTGGCCAAAGCCACAGAGGACTACTTGAAGCCAGACCTGCACGTATCAGTACCACTTGGTCACTGGTTGAAAGCAGCCGCCTAGGTAATGGGGTAGACAAAGCTGGGGGATAGGATCCCTACGTTTCAGGCTGTCTGCTGCTAGACAGTGTCAGGCCTGGCCCTTGGGATACACCTCCTGGAGAACAGCCAGCCCAGTGGTCCTGGGGCCTGCCACCCACTCCCAGGCCCCTGGTCCTGTCCTGGTCCTCTCACCACCACCCACCGTTTGGGTCTGGCTAGCACCTGTGTCCTCTGCTCCTTTTTGACCTGGAGCCCAGTCTCAGAGGGCTGTTTCCCAACCCCGCATCTCTCCGTGTACTTCACCTCTTCTAGGAGATGCTACCTAACGGGCTCCCCCCAGGTTCCCTTCAAGCTCCGAGTCGTCCCCTACTATCCCATGATCATCCCAGTGGGTGGGGGCCATGGGCAGGCTGTTCTTCTGCCTGCACCCCCTTCCCACAGAGCCCCACAGCCTGCACTTTGAGAAGGGCAGTTGAGACAGTTCCAACTGGTCTGGACCCACCTCTGGCCAGCATTAGGAAGACACCGCCGGGCATTCAGAGCCAAAGCCCTTGCCCCTTTAGAAATTTCCATTTTGTTTTCTGATGTCCCCGGAAAGTGCTGTGGGCCTCCTTTGGGGCAGTCACTTGCTGCCGAGGTTGTTCCTGATGAAAGACAGGGTGGGGATGCAGACCTCACCCCTATGTCTGCCGTCTTGCGCATTGCCAGCATTGCTGTGGCCTCCTGGGGCCAAGGTCCGGGTCTGGCTTCCTGCCTCATCTTCCAGCCGACTAACTTCTCGTAGCACTGGACACCCACCACATAGCGGAATTTGCAGGCTCACCCCCATCAGTGAGACATTTTAAGAGAAGCAGATGTCAGAAGAGAAAGCACCAATTGGTACCAGGGCAAGGGAACTGTATGGAGAGTCAGAGGCCTCTAAGGGCCCAGCTTCTTGGCCAAGCAGGCCTTTCTTTAGCCTGCAGCCTGGCCGCTGGTTTCCAGCTTGGGTAGCATTAGACCCGAGGGTCTCAAGCTTGGGCGATAGACCAGTTCATTTTTCCCTCTTGGAAAGTCACCGTCCTGGTTCCCCTTCAGCCCCGATATTGGGCCCTACATAGAGACATAGTGAATGGGTTCCTCCCAGACTGCCAGTGCAGAGGGGCCAGGGAAACAAGCCAGGTCTTCACTGAGGCCCTGCTAGCGTGGGTGGATGTCTCCCAGAGAGGGAGGAGCCGGACTTTCGGCAGTGTGTTGGTGTCGATTGTGTCCCGGGAGAACATGGTATATGGTTCTTGTTGGCTGTGCCAGAGAGCTCAGGGTGATGCGTGGTGTTATGTTGGCATCCAGGGCAGATGCATTGTCCTGTGAAACTGAATTAGGCTGGCATGGGACAGAGCAATGCATGCTCAGAGGGCTGCCCCACTGACCTTCCTCACCTTGCCTTTGTTATAGGCCTCAGGAGATGCCCCCACCACCCCCAAGCACCCCAAGGACAGCAGAGAGAACTTCTTCCCTGCAACTGTGGCCCCCACAGCACCTGAGCCCTTGCCAACTGATGCACTGCAGCGGCCCAGTGACTCCCACCTCAAGCCTCAGACTGCATTGGCTGCGGCCACAGCTGTCGTCAGTTGCCCTCCCTCAGCATCAGCCTCCACCCCAGACTTGTCCATAGATCCTGGAACTCCCCGGTCACACAGGCCAGAGGCTACCACCGGCATGGCTTCCCTGAGGAGTCCTGGTAAGTGCCATCTCAATCTACCTGGTAACCTGAGATCTTCAGGCTTTCCCAGAGCCAAGTCCCCTCTACCCGCAATCCTTCCCCTGTGGAATTGGCAGAGAGGCATGTGAGGGGCTCTCCAGCACCCCTGGGGTGACCCTGGGGCAGTCAGCTGCTAGTCCAGGTGGCAGGTGCTGGCAGCACTTGTGGCCCCATAACTCTGGTAACCTTGCCCTCTGTCTTAGGGTTTCTATTGCTGTGAAGAGACACCACAACAACTTTGTAAAGGAAAACATTTAATTAGGGTGCAGGCAGGCATGGTGCTGGAGAGGTAGCTGAGAGTTCTGCATCTTGATCCACAGGCAGTGGTCTGTGACACTGGGAGTAGCTTGAGCACAGGAGACCTCAAAGCCCACCCCCACAGTGACACCCTTTCTCCAACAAGGCCACACCTCCTAATAGGGCCACTCGTTATGACATTCAGACCACCACGGCCTCTGTGTCTGTCCTCCCTGCACATAGGGTGAGGAGGAGAGGGACTGAGCACCACCCCTGAAGAGTGGGTGTTGTCCTGGTTTCTGCCCCAGGGAAGAGGAGGAGCTAGTGCAGAGCAGGCTGCTGTGGTAGGGTCCGGCCTTGGCAGTCTTTGCGACCCCCAGTCATCTCCAGGACCAGATCTGTCCCACTGTGGGCATGACCAGGTCGATGGACTTAGGAAGAAAATGCAGAAGGGATGGAGGTGGCTCAGGCCACCTCAACCAGCTGGGAGCTCTCAGGGTGGCCAGCATGGCAGGCTGGACGTGGTCTAGAACCTTCCTAGGAGGAAGAGGCCTCAAGATAACACACGCAGGCAGGGTATAGGTGGTTGGTGGTGCCAGGCTCTGCCCATCCCCAGGCATTGGATCTCCCTGTTGGTACCCTGGTACCATAACCAGGCTCCAGAGACCCTGAAATAACAGGTGTCCCCTGACTAGCTCACTGCCCCACCCTTCCTTCGCTCACTGTTCAAGACCGTCACCTGCCCATACCTGGAGCCATCCCTTAGGGCTTACCTGTCCTCACATCCAGGGCTGCTACCTTGAGCCGTGGGGCCTTGGCTCTGTGGTCTCCCATCTCATCTGCACAGTGGGACAGCTAGCCTGGGCTAGGGGTGCCTGACTGGAGGCTGGATTGGAAGCATCCATCTCAGCTCAGCGACAGGCTGGGGTTGCCTACTCGCTGCAGGGTACTTGGCGGATTGTGCCTGTCAAGGACCCAGTCGCTCATGGCTGTACGCTCTGTCACCATGTGTGCCAGAGGAACCTCTGAAGGCCACAGAACAGAGCAGTTAGAGATCTGGGGTGGGCTCAGGCGAGCATGCGCAAAGCTCTGGGTACCATCCCCAGTGCCCCTCAGCACAGTCGGAAAGCTGCAAGTGGGAGGTCCATCCCCAGGTGTCTGATCGCTTCTCACCCTGCAGGGCTTGAACTCACACTTAGCAAATAACCAAAGCTATGGTGTTTGGTGGTGGTAAGTTCAAGGCGCAGGTGCCTTCCTGTTACTGGGTCACTCAGGCCCCCAGAGGTTTACCCTGCCCCTCACGTCAGGTTGTATCATGTGCCCCATGACTGGAGAGTCTGAGGATTGGAACTCCAGACCAGCGTTGTCCTTGTGGGTGGAATATTCCTCGTTCACGGTCTCCCATGCAGTTGAATGCAAGTCATTAGCTGAGCACCTGAGTGGGTAACAGCCCCACTTGATTTCTTAATGGGGCCTCTTCCTGACAACCTAGTGCTCTCCCACCTTGGAGAGTAAGAGGGAGACCATAGCATCTCTCACAGCCTAGTTTCAGAAGAGTTGAGCATCACTGGGTCTCACACTGCCCTTGCTTCTCTTGGTGTCCGCTCTTCCGGTAGTTCCAACAGGTAGGCATCAGGAGCACTTGAAAGCTGGCTGGGAGCCTGCACCCCTCCCTCACCTGTCTGCCTCCAAGCAAGCAAAATCCCACAGTTCACGTCTTCTCTTTGGAGGTTAGCTCGGGGAAGAGTACCTATTTCTGGGTGTCTATTTTACCACAGTAGCACGCTAATGGACATGGGGTAAGGACAGCTCTCAGCAAAAACTTGGGCCCACGCAGGCCTGGCAGAGGGTCCCAGGCACGCTCACCTTCGTTCCCCAACCAGCTGCCCTCTACTCCCGAGTCAGCTGTCAGCACATGATGGGTGTTGGGATTTTCCGTGGACACCAGAGTTTCCTGGGGGTGATGTGGGGACCAGTTTGGGACAGACATGTCTCTTTAAGCCCACACCCTACATCTCTGGAACGAATTGAACCCTCATGGAAAGAATGCCTCACCAGCTCCAGATTCCTGATAGACCCGTGGGAGCAGTGTGCCTGGATCCACTGTTCTCTTGATGGTAGAGCCTGCTCACAGAAGCCCTGCGTGAGGACACAGTGGGGACTTGAATAGCAGACCGTTAGAAACAGGGGGCTGAGAAGAGGCTGAGCCACCTGGGACCGGGCTTTCTATCTGCCGCAGGGAACAGGAAAACTTTCCTAACAGCACCCTGGTGGCCATGCTTGGCGAGCATCTTCTCCCTGAGACTGAGTCTGCTGGACATCTCTCAGGACCTGGTGGCTTCTAGGAAGAAAGTCTGGGCTGTCCGTGGTCCTGAGGCAGGTCCTGGGTGATTTCATGACCAATTTTGTTTTTTAAATGTCTGTCCACATTTTGGGTGTTGAGAAATAGAGGGAAACTAAATTCTCAGTGTTTGCTGTTAGAGTTGAAGATCAAGCCACCTGACACTTGGGCACACTATGCAGCCTTCACCATCCTGGCATGAGGGGAAGCCTTACCCAGAGTGTACCTGAACCCCTTTCAGGGAAGCCAGGCCTGTTGATCCATATCATCTAGAAAGAGGGATACTTTCGTGGAGTTTTGTTTGGACTTTTTGATCAGGGTCTCAGGTAGTCCAGGCTGGCCTCTAGCTCGTCACAGTCATCCTTGTCTCCACCCACCAAGTGCCAAAATCATAGGCATGGGCCTTCACACCCAACTCAAAGCCAGACATTTCTTCTCCCTACCTGTGTATCCTGACCCCACCTCTGCTACTCAGGGAACCCCTGCTTAAGGGGCCATCCAGCCACATCAGGTAGAGTGCTGCCCCCTATGGACAGATGTGGCATTGCGGCAGGCCCCAGGAAGGCCACTGGGTGGTTATATACCCAGCTTTCTACCTTGCAAATGGGAGGTGGTGCTGGGAAGGCTGCAGGAGAATCCTGGGGTGCTCCCTGCTGCCAGCCATTGTTTGTCTGTGACCTAGACTGCAGGCGTTGAAGAGGGAGTGGTTCAGGTCGGGGAGACATGGTCTTCTCCAGGCTGGGTGTGGTGGTACATTCCTTCCTCAGGAGGCTGGAACTGGATAAACCCATGAACCGATCCTGGGCTCCATAGCAAGAACTCTTCTCCCTGCTGGAGGAAGCCTGGGGGCAGGGGGAGAGCTGGGTAGACAGTGTACCTGATTGAGCAGGAAGGAGGCGGCCGCCTGCAAGACCACTCCGAACATCAAGGAGGTGGGAGACAGATCCTCACTGGAATACAGGTGTGCTGGTGTCCTTAGTTCCATCCAGCCTTCAGCACACTTGCCCCTGCCTTATGCCAGGGGAGGGGGGATTTGGTCCAGCAGGAAGACATGGCGCCCTCATGTTCTCTGTCTATTTTGGTCTTAGTTGGCGGTTTTGACTTGGGTTGTGTTTGCCATTCCTATGACCAGAAGAGGGAGCCCACCCCTGACAGCCATGTGGTGGTGGTGTCTTGCTGAGTCCCTGTGGGCTGCTGAGACCCAGCACAGACAGAGTCTCTCTCTTCTCTCTGGCTTATTCCTACCAGCTACTCTACCAGTCAGGCCCCTCAAGACCTCTTGGCCAGGCTTCCCAAAGACCATCACTCAGGATGGAAGGACATGGCACCAGCCCATAGAGACTAGGCAGGGCTCTGATTATGTCAAGCACAGTTGCCCAGCTTGGCAAGACAAACACACTCACTCACTCTGTGTCTACTTGAAACGTGATAGGTATCTTGAAATTGCCTGCTTGTGCCTACATGCAGCTGTCCCAGAAGAATGCTTGCTGATCGCTGGTTCCTGTGGGGATGGAGAGCCACCTTATCCCAGTGTCCCCATGTTGGCCACATTTCCCTGTTACATGTCCTAGGGCTTAGTCTGGGCATACAAGGCCTGTCACAGAAACATGGGGATCTGGGAAGGGGGGCTGCCCCCCACCCTCCATGGAATGGGAATGTTACCTGCAGCTGGCCTGTGTCTCCACAGAGGGAGAGGAGCTGTCAGGAGCGACAGAAAGTGCCAGCTTTCCACCCCAAGAACCACGGCACAGTCACCAGATAAAAATGGCTGCCACAGGTCCCCCGGCTGAACAGCACTGCTGGCCAGTGGAGGCTGCTTGCCAGACAGGTGCCGAGCCCACCTGCAGCCAAGGTAAGGCCAGTTGAGAGCAGCCCAGCACCAGCTCCCACCAGGCTGCTCCCAGATGACAGCCGTGGCTGGGCTTCCCCACAGAGGCTCGGCTTGGTAGATTAGGGGATAGACAGGGAGGGCAGAGCTCAGGTGAGAATGAGGGAGGAGCCCTGGGTGGAGTCTGGCAGGGACCATTACTGGGACCCTAAAGCCTCCTTTCGCCCCAGCTCCACAGAAGGGTCCTACTAGGTTTGGAGTCTCTCTTAAGCCTGTGGTACTGCAGAAGCCAGAGGGGCAGTTCTGTATGGGGAGGAGCTTGGGCCTATCACCGAGGTTTCTCTGTGGGCAGCTGAGACAGCACAGACAGCCTCTCTGTGGGAATCCACCAGCCATTCTACTAGTCAGGCCCCTTGAGACCGCTTGGCCAGGTCTCCCATAGACCACTCAGGATGGAAGGACATGGCGCCAGCCCACGAAGACTGGGCAGGGCTCTGGCTCCCACTCCTTTTAAAGAGATGAGGCTAAAAGAATGTGGAGCCATGCCAGGGCAGCTGGGTTGTTCCCAGTTCATGCAGCTCCCTGGAGGCTGCCAGGTTCCAGATCTGCAGTCTGCCATGGCCCTGACTGCCTCCAGGAGACTCAGCTCCTTACTCATCCTGGAGTGACAGAGAAAAAAGTATGACTGGGATCAGTTTGTGTTCTCCTTTGGAATGGAATAATTCAGAAAATACAACAACAGTTTTGTGTTGTCTTGGTGCTGGGGGAGCCTTCAGCATCCCTGGGAAATCTCAGAGGAGCTGCTGGGGTCCACTGATGGACAAGCCTCGCGTGCCAAGGTCCTCAACCAGAGTTGAGCCTGGGACCCTACCAGTCAGCATAGGCAGAAGGCCAGGAAAGCATCCGTGGTGTGGGCCCTCCGACTTCCGTAGGAGGGACTAACTGAGTTCTTAGCGAGAAGAGACAGGCAGACTGAGGAGGCTGAGTGAACTCAAACTCTGAGGTCTCCCAACAGCCACCAGCACTAAGGTCCCCAGCAGCGGAAGTACCCAGACACCTGAGAGCCATCAAGGCAAGGCTGAGCCCAACAGGGCCAAATCCCGCCTCCTGTCCAACATGCCAAAGCTGGTGATCCCCTCAGCCACCACCAAGTTCCCCCCTGAGATCACCGTCACACCACCTACCCCGACCCTGCTTTCCCCCAAAGGCAGCATTTCGGAGGAGACCAAGCAGAAGCTGAAGGTGACTGTGGGTACCAGGCAGGGGGCCTGGTGTTGGGGGTCTGGGGAGGGCTTGAGTTACGGGGAGACCTGGGTGAGAATTTGGGTCAATGTCAAGAGGTTTAGGGTGAGGCCAGTCACTCCTGACCGTGTTCTTTCTGCCTTGCCCTCTGTGCAGTCAGCCATCCTGTCTGCCCAGTCAGCTGCCAATGTGCGGAAGGAGAGCCTGTGCCAGCCAGCTCTGGAGGTTCTGGAGACGTCCAGCCAGGAGTCCTCGTTGGAGAGTGAGACAGACGAGGATGATGACTATATGGACATATGAAGGCCCCAGAGCCGCAGCTAGGCCTGGGACCCTGGTCCAGACCCTGGGCACGACCAGAAGCCTTCCCATGTGAGGTCTCCTAAGCCTGCCCAGCCCCTCTTTACAACGCCCTGCCCCAGTGGAGGCTGTCCACACCCAGTGTGCTGGTCCAGAGGAAGATGAGGCCTGTCTTCAGCACATGAGGATGAACTGGCTGTGGTCTGCACAGCGGGGCCGGCACTTGTTTTATTTTGTGAATATTGACTTTCTTTACAAGCCCATGTCCAGCTGCCCAGGCCCACAGTTCAGTGCCAAGATAGGATAGCTTGGGTTCTGGTGGAGACATCGAGAGCCTAGCTCACACCATACCTTTTTTTGTCATTGTTGTTCTTTTCTAATAAAGCTGAGAAAATGCTCTTTCCTTCTTTGCTTACCGTGGGGGGTGTTTACATGGTGCAGGGACTGCCCCCCCCCAAGTTCATGTTCAGAAGCCCCTAGACAGCTGGGGGGAGACTCCTGGGTAAGGATAGACCTATGTCAGAGAGGGTGCCAGGTTTCCTGGAGCTCCTGTAGTGTTAAGTGTAAGGACACAAAGAAGGCAGGGCCTACGTGATGCCAAGGCGTTCACAGAAGGGCACCGTGGAGAAGGCGGCAGCTGAGGAGCAGGGAGGCGTACCTCATCCCAGTTCCTCCCTGACGGGACCAGTTACACAAGTGTGGAGCCCTGGCCAGAACAGATGTGGGCTGCTGGTTCAAAAGTAAGACTTGGGGGCTGGAGGGTTGGCTCGGGCATTAAGAGCACTGGCTGCTCTGCCAGGGTTCAGTCCCCAGCACACACATGGCAGTCCACCTCCAGCTCTAACTCCGGTTCCAGGAGATCAGTGATCCCTTCCGGCTTCCACAGACGCTGCACACATGTGGTGCACAGACATGCATGCAGCAAAACAGAAGCGGAAGATCTTGGGGAGGGAGACCAGGCTGAAACCCCGAGACGAGATCTTGCCACGTACCAGATTGCCTGTGTAGCCCAGGCAGGCCTTGCCTCCGCCTCTTGAGTGAGGTTACAGGCATGGGCCAGAGCACTTGGCTAAAAGTTAACTTTTAAGACCACACAGATCAGTAAGTCATGATATTGGCCCTTTCCCTTTCCCGGGATCCGTGCCATTTATTGGGAGATGCTTAGGTTCCAGGGGCCCATACCTTCCTGTCATGACTGCCAGCCACAGCATTTCAGAGCCCCATCTGTCTCCTCAAAAGCTCTAGGCCAACCAGGCGGTGGTGGTGCACGCCTTTAATCCCAGCACTCGGGAGGCAGAAGCAGGTGGATCTCTGTGAGTTCGAGGCCGGCCTGGTCTACAGAGTGAGTTCAGGAAAGGCTCCAAAGCTCCACAGAGAAACCCTGTCTCAAAAAATAAAACAAAAGCAAAAACAAAAAAGCTCCAGGCCAGAATGGAGATGAGGTACCCTTTCATGCCTTCATGGACTGGGCACATGCCCACAATCAAGAAGGAAACAACTATCGACTAGACCCTAGATCCTTAATCCAGGCCCTTCGGAGCTAGAAATGTGGCAACCCAAGATGAGTCCTCACCAGACCAGCCATCTGGAGAGCCAAGAAGTGAGGGACAGTTGTCTCTCAGCCAAGCCCCCCCCCCCATGGTAGGGAGTACCCTCAGTCCCGGGCCTGCGGTGCTGGCATGGGCTGCCCCCTGCCACAGGACCTGTGTACACACAAAGGCACCCATCCAGAGCACCCTGTGGCTTAGGAGGGTTTTTTCCCCCTCTGGAAGGCGAGCATGAGGGTCTTGGGAGACTTGTCACCATGTCTGCCTGTGGAGTCTCAGCTATAGTGGGGACACGGTTACCTTCCGGGCAGCTTGGTCCCCACTCCTAACCACAGGTTACCTCAGACACTCAAGGGAGAGCCACAGGTGACCTCCAGCCCTGACTAGTTACGAAGAGGGAACAAGGCCCATAGAACAATGGGCTGGCTGAGACCCAGGACCAGAGGAGGATCACCAGCCAGATGGCTTCAGCTCATCCGCGCCAGCCCGCCTCCTCCCCCGTGAGGCCAGCCAGGGTGTCCGCATTGAGAAACCGCAGCTTCCCTGTCCTGATGTCTATCCCAGGTGACAAGCCCAGGCTCACCGGCCTTTGTGGACCACCCTGGCATCAAGGATTCCCAGAAGCCACCAGAGGGTCTCCAACAGGTTCCTTCCTCCTCTGCAGAGGCTTCTAGAACCCAGAGCGGGGTATGTTAGCTCACCAAACGACAACACTGGAGCCAGGCTGGCCTCAGCTCTGGGCTCCTCTGTCTGGGTGGTCACTCCGAAGCCTGCTGTGAATCAGGAATGACCCCGTCTCAAGTCCATGCCGTGCGCTTGCACTCCAAGCAGATTAGTTTGCCCCACCTCCGCCTGCCAGGCCGAGTGGGTGCTAGGCAACACCTCCCTGAGAAAAGCAGACGCCTAGGTCTGTCCTGAGGGGACCGGGACTTCGTCACCCACCCTGCAAGAAGCCTTGCACGCAAGACTGGACTGTGTGACCCAGGGCCTGAGCTGCCTTGCCACATCCAGCTTCTCACGTGCCGAAGGTCTGAACGTCTGGGCAGTCCAGCCCCTCGTTCTGCCACAGGGTCCCAAGGCTGTGGTGATGGGGCAAGAATGTGCCAACTAGGCAGATCAGGCTCGCGACTCTCTAAGGGCACCTGTGGACTTTGAGAGGAGGGGGAGGAGGGAGCGGAGGGGAGGAGGGGTGCCGCAGAACGCTGGGCGGGGCCGGTGGGCGGGGCCGGGCCAGTGGGGAGGGAGCCCGTCCCGCAATCCCTGAGCCACTGTGCTACTACTGCCTGCTGGTTGCACACAGGACGCGCCATGAAGCTGGCCCTCCTGCCTTGGAGTTTGATGCTGCTGGTGACAATCCCAGGCCCCAGGCCCACAGCAGGTATGCCCCACTCTGCCCTTTCCGACCCCCGCTCCCTGCTCATCTGCCTGATCCGCCAGGCCCTAAGCAGACGCCCCTGTGGGTTCATCGTTGGTCCATCTGGCAGCCCATCTGTGGCTATGCTGGGGAGTACTGGGAAGACATTCCGAGGCTCTTGGTTCTAGACACTTCTGGTAGAGACCGGAGGTCTGCATCAAGCCCGTGCTGCCCTCACTGGACGCTTGAAGAGCATGGCCTGGTTGGGAAGCAGGGGAGACCAAAGAGCCCTTGGCCTGCACACCAATTCCCCAGTGGAGGGTGTGATCACATAGGGAGCCCCAGGCTCTGTCTCTCCCTAGGCTGGCCCTTATCAGCTGAATCAAGAAAGTCTAGCGAGAAGGCTGAGGCTTCCAGCCATGGGCCTCTCCCTGAGCTGGGCTGGGAGTCACTCCCCTGCCTCACCCCATCTTCCATTGCAGGAAAGCGTCACCACCCCGCTCTTTTATCTCCCAGCATCTTGAAGCATCTCCCCCACACCCCTTTGCAGTCATTAAATCCTTCGCCAATAAATATTTATTGCTGCTCTTGAGTGCAAGCACTCCACTCAGTGAAGTGGGGCTGGCTAAGTGGCTTAGGCCCAGGCCTGGTCTCCTTCCTCAAGGGCCTGGGAAGGGCCAGGTGGGAGACGCGATCTGGCCTGGGAAGTTAGCACCCCACCCCAGTCTGGGCCCTGCCACAGGTCGCCACAGCCCACAGGGGAAGGCCTGGACAAGATGTCCGTGGCTCCTGGCAGTGTACTCCCAACTACATTTTGCTGGAATATTCACTGGAACGTCCCCTCCTATCCCCCTAAAAGGGAGTGTCCTGACCGCCTTCACAGAGGGTGGGGCTCTCTGGGATTCAACTCTTACTCTACCCCCAGAAAGAGATGGGAAAAGCTCAGCCCAGACACCATTCCCTCCTGGACCGTGAATAGGACTCTTCGTGGCTATGCGCCCCCAGCCTAGGCAAGCAAGGGGACTCTTTTCTAGCTGTGAGCAGCCACTTCATTACCTGGGTGAAGATGGACCCAGCCCAAGGGACCAGTGGCTTTCTACTGTGCCGTTCGGTAGCCAGAGCAATTCCTGGTCAGCATCCGTGGATGCTTCTCCTGGGACTCCAGAGGAAACCGGCCCTGGATGTAGGGTACTTGACCCCAGTACACAGGGCTTTCTTCTCCAGGCACCCCGACGAGCTGCTCCCTGCACTGTGGAGAACAGATAGGACCCTGCTCTTGCCAACCCACCTGCATGGGCCTCCACAACTGTTGTGAAGACTTTCTGAACTACTGCCTAGAGATCTCACCCTCCTCGGGTTCCATGATGGGGGGCAAAGACTTCGTGGTGCAGCATTTAGAGTGGCCTCACTCTACTGACGGCGTCCTTTGCAGGTGGGGGGCCCTAAGCATCTGGGTCACCAGGGCTCCCATACTCTCAACCCCATGGGGGGAGGGGCTGGAGATAGCGCCCCTGGGACCAAGGGCAGGCAGGAGGGCACAGGAACACCCTAGCCTAACCTGTTCCCTGAGGAACAGTGTAGGTCTTCAGAGCTGTTGGCTCAGCCTGGCTCTCCCATCTCTGTCCCTCAGGTTTAAGGAGAGTGTCCAGACCCTTGGCTATGTGGACAGCTTGAATCGAGTGCACTGTATCTCACCCTTGCTCTATGAAAGCGGCCACATCCCCTTCACCATCTCACTGGACAATGGCCGTTCCTTCCCCCACGCAGGCACTTGGCTAGCTGGTGAGCCCTCACTCACTCTGCCAAGCTGGTCTAGGCTGTAAGCCTGTAGACGCCACCCTCCCTGGGCCCTGGTTTCCATCCGCAACACACGGCCATGGGACTTTCCCCAACGCTAATCCATGTACACTGATACTAGACCCAGTGTGCCTACCTGTCCCTCTGGCTGAACCAGTCCCTTGGGCAAGGGTTTCTGTCACTCACCACGCCACCCCTGGCATCTAGACCCGAGTCCCAGACCACAAGGAGTTGGAGCTGTGGGGTCCTCATCAAGGTGGTTCAGATCCAGACCTGGCCCCTGGTGGTCCCTCAGCAAGGGGCTGTGGAAGGGCCAACCGAGAGGTGTAAATCTGACTTGGGGGTCTCAGCTCTCCTGGCCACGGTGTCTTCCTACCAAGAGACCCCGAGGGAGACCACCATCTAGCTGCTTTTCGTGTTTGTTACTGAGAGGTTCTCAGAGCCCTCCAGGTCTCTTACGCCATTAAGTCTTTACTCATTCCTCACTCACCCCCTGCCCAGCACATCCCTACAAAGTGTCCGAGTCCGAGAAGAGCCAGCTGGTGAATGAGACCCACTGGCAATATTACGGGACGGCGGCGGACACCGGTGGAAACCTCAGCCTCACCTGGAACACCTCACTCCTGCCCATGCTGGCTGTCACCATTGAGCTGTGGGGCTATGAGGAGACAGGTGGGACCTGCCGAGGGCTGGTGGAGGTG